TAAAGGAGTGTAGTGATGGGCTTCTAAGAGAAATAGGAAGATTAGCACGGAAAGCGATAGTCCCAGTTTGAACATGTGATCGTCGAACACCTTGTCGTTATTATCCAAGGGACCAGGTGGTAGCTGAAATCAGAACATCTTCATTGAGATCTTATTCAAATCTCCTTAATGCTTCAAATGGAAATTTGAAGCGTAGCAAAAGAATATTTAAAGAATTATTAGTCTTTTTTTGCTGAAAACTGTTGTCTTGGGGGCTCAGATTTTTACCACTAATCAAAGTATCAAGAACAATAATATCGTGACTGAATCGAAATTGTTCAGTTCTTCTATCCTGCACAAACACGGCAGCTAAATGGGTATGTTGCTTGCCATAGAACCACTCGATATGGTGACTTTGCAGTAGTCTTAGGCCATCTTAAAATTTCTCTGCGCTGTGGTCAGTCTATCTCACTTTTTTTTCGTTGTAAATATATTCACATTGTTGATTTCTTTTGTTACTTGCTAGAAAAAAATAATAATTTTTCACTGACAACATTCATGATTGGTTGCAAAAATGCTTTGCGAGTTATATATTAAATCCCCCTTGAATGAGGTTCACTGATGCCATAGAAAAATGCAATTAAGGCTCTGAATTGCAGATTAACTCACGCGCAATGCTTTTAAATTCGTAGAAAATTAGGTTTTTTGTTTTTCGAGTCTTTTTCCTTTTGCAAAATGTTCCACTTTCTGTTCAGTTTCTTTAAGTGTTACTTAGAAATAACTACAGTCAAATTTAAGTGAGTGGTTTTTTCTTACTACTCTTTCGTGGAAATGAAACTAAAGATGTCATGTAGGTTAGTAAAGCCGGGTAGCTTGTTAGCTTGCATTCGCTAGCAGCTTTCACGAGAAATGTGGGTGAAGTTGGTCGCGCTCACGAGAGCAATCGCGCTGCTTTCATTATAAAAAGCGGTTTTGTTTCTTGCAGTCTTGCTTTAAAGTCTAAGTTTTGACTGGAAGAGCTTTTTAGCTTAAAAAGCGCTTAGAATATGTGCAAACAGGATTCTGATGCAAACAGGAATATCTTGCTTTGAGCAAACGTTTCTATAAGTTTCAAATCCCAAATACTTTGGTTCGCAAATGAATTTACTGTTAAATTTGCTTCGCACCTCATTGTAGAATAGGCGAAAGCAGGTTGCGACTTTTCCGACCAACACCAATGAA